CCCCCCCCCCCCTGTCTCCACTGACCTCAGCATCCTGTATGTGGCCATCGCGGTGAGCCTGTGTGTGGTCACCGGGGGTCTCCTCATCTTCTTCCTCATGCCCCGAGACATCGTCATCTCTAGCAACAGGCCCTTCCTACAGCCCAAGCACATCGACATCAATTCTACATCAAGGTTCGCCAACTTTACTGTCACGGTAAGTCTGTTTGTCTATTTATGTGTGTGTGATGAGAGAGAAAGAGAGGGAGAGAGAGAGAGAGGGAGAGAGAGAGACAGACATAGTATCTCCAGCAACAGGCCCTTCCTATAGCTCAAACACATCGACATCTGATCAACTCTACATCAAGGTTCACCAACCTTACTGTCACGGTAAGTCTGTTTGCTTGTCTGTTTGTGTGTGTGTGTGTGTGTGTGTGAGTGAGGAGAGAGGGAGGGAGAGAGAGACATCGTCCTCTCTAGCAGCAGGCCCTTCCTACAGCCCAAACACATTGACATCAACTCTACATCAAGGTTCGCCAACTTTACTGTCACGGTAAGTCTCTTTGTTTGTCTATTTGTGTACCGGTATGTGTGTGTGTGTGTGTGAGGAGAGAGAGAGCGAGAGTCATCTCTCGCAACAGGCCGTTCCTATTGCTCAAACACATCGACATCTGATCAACTCTACTTCAAATTTCGCCGACTTTACTGTCATGGTAAGTCTGTTTGTTTATCTATTTGTGTGTGTGTGTGTGTGTGAGAGAGAGAGAGAGAGAGGGGGAGGGGGGTGAGTGAGTGCAGAGAGAGAGGGGGGGAGAGAGAGAGAGAGAGATATCGTCATCTCTGGCAATAGACCCTTCCTACAGCCCAAACACATCGCCATCAACTCTACATCAAGGTTCGCCAACTTTACTGTCACAGTAAGTTTGTTTGTCCATTTGTGTATGTATGTGTTTGTGTGTATGAGAGAGAGAGAGAGAAAGAGAGAGACATCGTCATCTCTAGCAACAGGCCCTTCCTACAGCTCAAACACATCGACATCAACTCTACCTCAAGGTTCGCCAACTTTACTGTCATGGTAAGTCTGTTTGTTTGTTTCTGTGTATGTGTGTGTGTGAGTGAATGAGTGAAGAGAGGGAGAGAGAGACAGGCACAGAGAGAGACAGGCACAGAGAGAGACAGAGAGAGAAGATATATATATAGAGAGAACATCTAGTCTACATTCAGGATCACCAACTTTACTGTCACGGTAAGTCTGTTTGTCTATTAATATGTGTGTATGGAGGTTTGTGTGTTTGCGTGTGTGTTAAGAGAGAGAAAGAGAGAAGAGAGAAAGAGCAGTGTTTTGTAAACCATGACTAATAACATTTACTACCTATGAACTTCTTTCATCTTCCACCTTCCTTCCCCCCCCCCCCCCCCTTCCAAATCACCACCAAGTCTAACCTTGTACATGTACCATGTACTTATTTCAATTCTCTATCCCTCCCCTCCCCCCCCCCCCTTCCGAACAGAATCACTACAACGTGTCCAACAACAACTTCTACCCTGTGAAGATCTCCGGGGTGTACATGAAGTCTCTATACAGTAACGCCATCATCGCTCAGGCTTGGGCCTATAAGAAGGACCCGCTCGAGATCTCGGCACGGTCAGAAGAGGAGCTTTCAGTGCCCATAGACTTTGTACTCAGCGGGGAGCACGGAAGTCTTGTGTAAGTGGTTGTCATATTTTGAACATGTCTATGGTGTATACATTGCTGTCAGTGCCCATAGTCTTTGTACTCAGCGGGCAGCACGGCTGTCTTGTGTAAGTGGTTGTCATTTGTCATATATAGAACATGTCTATGGTGTATATAGAGCTTTCAGTGCCCATAGTCTTTGTACTCAACAGCGAGCACGGAAGTCTTGTGTTAGCGGTTGTCATATATAGAACATGTCAATGGTGTATATAGCGCTGTCAGTGTTCATAGACTTTGTACTCAGCGGGGAGCACGGAAGTCTTGTGTAGGTGGTTGTCACATATAGAACATGTCTATGGTGTATATAGTGCTGTCAGCGCATATACTTTGCTGGGCCTATCCGGCGGGATGCATCGAACGACCAGGGTTTGTCAGTCGTTTTTCTGCTCAGATACTCTTCAAAAACCTGCATGGTCCTCATCTTTCCCGGTCACCCATCTGTTCCAAGTTTTCAAACTTGAAAAATAAGTTGTTCTTGGTCTTCCCCTGCCTCTTTTGCCTTCTATTTTTTCAGTGATAACAAAATGTTGAAGCCTTCTAGGTCTTTCCAAGTGTTTCAGAAACTGCTTTGCCTCTTCTTGATTGTTTTTATGAGTGAGCGGCCCACTTGGCTTTCTTTCAGCACTGCCTTGTTTGATTTCTTCTCCTCCCTGGAAATATATAATATGACATCACATTTATCGTGTGTTTTCTTCTCTCCAGGTCCCACTGTATCAGCAACTGGTCCTGGATTCACAACCTGCCCATCTTATTTGAGTAAGTTTAGGTCATATCGTTAGATTACTCCGTAAACTGTAATGCTGTCAGTGTCAGCTCAGTTGGTAGCTTGCTGGGCTATGAATGAGATGGCCCCTTACTCGATTCTATGTCTTCACAGATGCTTTACTGTGGGGGTATGTGTGCCGTTAGCTCAGTTGATATTGTGCTGGGATGCTGAACAGATGGTCCCAGATCAAAAGTTATTTTGGGAGTTTTGAAAGGGGATGGGGAGGGGAATAAGGTACTCACACATTTAAAGAACGAAAACCCAATACATAACATGCACCTGTTCTTCGTTGTTGTTTGGTTGGGGGGGTTTTTTCCTTTCTTCTTGGCGGGTGCTCCGGTGTGGTTTGCTCCTTCTTTCCTATCAAACATCTATCATCCTGATCTCCCTTCCTTCTTTTTTGTGTATTTGTTACTCTCTTGTAACACCTCTTATCTCCGGCACTTATATGACCTTATTGTGTTTCAAGTGCCGTAAACTCTTACTAAAACTTTCCTTTTTTCAAGCATTTGCCAGATGCTATACTGTGAGGATACGGGTACTGTTAGCTCAATGGTAGAGTGCTGGGATGCTGAACAGACAGATGGTCCCTGTTCAGAAGTTGTTTTGGGGAGTTTTGATGTGCCAATAGAGGTGTTAAACCCATATTACCGGCGTCTGTGATGCAGTGCTTCAGTAGCTTGCCATCACACACAGAATACCCCCCCCCCCCCCCCCCCCG